CTAGCTTAACAGACTTGACCTGAGTTTAACAGCTGTTGAAGTGGTGTGAGAGAGCCAGTGGGTGTCACATGCAATTTTCTGTTTTCAGAAAGAGAAATAGAGAAGTTTGCAAAAATCTCTGTTGGTTTTCTAACCTTGGCCAGGAATAAAATGTGTGATTGTTAAATGCTGTTAGTTGCTCAAAATATAACAGGTTTGATTAATAGGTAGGGGGATGATTCTTCTTGGCCTTAGTCATTTATTTTAGAATAACTCCGTGTGATAACTGGAAAAACGGACAAATTGTTTTGTGAGAGAACTTGACCATGAAGTGTTTTATCAGTTTGCTAATAATAGCTTAGAGCTGGCTAATAATAACCCTTAAAGGGGCAATTAAAAGATAGCAGCTATGATATTGTCCAGCCATACGAATGTGTTATTCCTTAGTTACGTGATTGTCTTGGTGAGTGAGGCCAAAGCCAAAGGTGGAAACGAATCAGGAAAGAAGAAAGTTGGGCTTGGTCACCTCGAATAGCAAGCCCTGATTCTGGCATTGTCTAGGACTGTATAGAGAGAAGGCTAATAGTATTCTGCACTGTCTTAGTAGATATATAAAAATGAACAAAACCTAGCCTTGCTTCTTCCCTCTTACCTTGACTTTCAAGTAGTTCAGAGACTAACTCTGTTGTGAACTATGTTCACAGGCTAAGATTTGGCAATTAACAGGATTTATTACAGCATTTTGCTCTGCTTGGACTCCCGATTGTTGAATAATTGTTGCTTCTACAGCCATAATGGCATCCAACAGCATATCCCACTGGCATGTTGATCAGAGAGGATGTAGTCAGGGCAGGGAAGAAATGACAACAAACTTTAGTGTATCGAGGTTGTGTCTTGTTTATTTTTACATGAAGAAGGTAGTGAGGGGAGGCCTAAGAAGTGATAAGAGCAGGGGTGTGATACACCCACCAAAAATGAGTGAGATGGTGTATTTCTGCTTACAAAAAAAAAAAAGGTAGTAAATAAATGATTAAACATGAGATTTTGCATAAATGAAGGATTTTATTTGCACAGGTATCTTCTGAGAAAGGAGTATATGCATCTGTGCAAGAATTTATTGATGCACAGGAAAGCTCTTAATAATAAATATGGATGGCTGTCCTGAGTTATTAAATGAAATGCTAGAGCCTGATGTTAAGACTAGATGCAATGTGTCAGGCTTGATGGTGTTACTGACACCAAAATGGAATCCTGTATCTCCATCACTCAGAGTAGGCCCAGAGCTGCACAGTACTAGAACTCACTTTTTACATTGAAACCTAGTGTTTAAATCACTGCTGAACACGAGTTTTATGTTATATGATGTTGTGAACTGTAGAAAACCCAGTCATGATTTTGTCATGATTTTAGGTTTGGGTTTGGTTTTGTTTTGTTGGTTTTTTTTTCCACTACTGCAAGCATAGCAAATTCCAAGGAAGAGGTGGGAAGGCCAAATAAAGATGTACTAATATCTTAACGTTGTAGTCAGCTACCAGGGCTCAAGCCTATTGCCAAGTGTTACATACATTAAGTAAAATAGAAAGAAGAGCATTTAGTGAGTGTTTTAATAATGTTTCTGTATGGCCTTATTCCCTGTTAGAGCTCCCTGGGCCCATATGATACGTTCCTTAAACTGATGTCTCTGTTCTTCCGTTCTCTACTCATTTTCCTGTAAATAGTAATGCTTTTAAGAAAGCTTTAATGTTTGGATACAAGTGACTTTTGGGGTGGTGTTTCCCTACAGCTACTCTACTTATCCAGATCTTCACTGCAAGAGTAAAGAGGCTAGTGTATAATGGCTGTAAATTAATGCAGAAGAGTTCAGCTTCCAGTGTTCTAAGATGATGTAAGGTATTAATCTGTTTTCACTAACCAGGATAAGTGGTGACTGGGGGTCATTCTTTCTGCAGATACCCACTGTGGTCAATCAGTCCTCTTTGACAGTATTACAGCTTTGCTGTGACTGTGGCAGAACCAGTTAGACAATCCAAACTAACTTTGGAAAAGCAGGCAGTATGGGAATTGAAATCAGACTGATGAATTTTCAGCATTATGTTAACTGGTAAAACTGATCTACTGCTGATAGCAAATGAGGGAGAAATAAATGCATGGTGGAAATAGATGTTGGAGTGTTACACATGTTGAATCAGTAACCACTGCCTGCAATTTGCCCAGGAGTAATTGTTTCTGGTGGCTGTCTAAACACAGAAGGCTTCAGGGCTGTCTTTGGTGTGTACTCAGGCTTGTGGATAGTTGGGCTGGAGATGTGAAGTCTGGGAAGCCAATATGTCATACAGGGGACTTTGTCTGTGGGCAGAGCACTGTAGAAAGACACACATCCCCATTACAGAAATAGGAGTCTTTCAGGTGTGGAGTGGGGTTCTGCCTACTTTCATCTTCTTTTTCTCATTCACCAAAGGCCTAGATCAGGGGCTGGACTATAGGCTGAAACACAGCTGTTTGTTACTGCTGCAAGGATTTCTTTTCCTAATTAATCCTTTAACTGGTCTAGGTTTTTTATTAGTATTTTATTTCTTGTGTTGTTATTTTATTTTGTTTGGAGTTCTTTTTTTTTTTTTCTAATGTGCACTGTGAGTTTTGTGTTTTGGATTACTGTACTGAGATTCTTCCTGGTACCATGTGGAGATGCAGCATTAGAAGAGAGTTACTGAAGCTTCTTTGCCATTATGTTCCTATCTGAATTGAGGCAATGGGTTTTATGGTGCTACCTTAGCTTACAAGACTAGCTCCAAGGATTCTGAGCTCTGTAGGGCCATCTTGCAAAGTAGCAGACTAAGCTTGCTCCAGCATGATTTCCAGATGTTTAACATTGTAGGAAGAGCTGTACTGGCTCTTGAGATTTGAGTGGAAGACCTAAGGCAGACCACAAATCCAGTATTTTTCTGGCTATAGTTTTTTACTAAGGCAATTCAGGAGTGCAGCTTGCCAGCTCATGGAAGGTGAGGACTTGTATCTGTGTGTGGACAAAGATGGTGAAGTCCATGTAAGTACAGCACTGTCAAAACTGACCAGAAGAGTCTAGTTGCAGGTGAGGAGCAGTGCTCACTATCCCAGGAGACAGAGCTGTGCTGCTGTTTGCTTTCCTTGTGAACTGATGGACACCTTGGGAACTGTGCTGAGGACCCAAGAGAATGCTTTGGTAATTATGACATGGAGATGTTGCTCTTTACTTGAGCAGTGCAGCTGCATTGCTGGTCTTCGTCTGTATGTTCCAGAAATAGAATTTAAGCCTTCAGATGAGTGGCTGCATCAGCAGGTAAAAGAAAAAAACATGCTTTTTGTTCTCTGTTCTGCATGTGCTTTCTTGTCTTTCTCCGTAATTACAGGTTGGTTCTGTTGTACAGTGGAGGCAGCCCCCATGACTAGGTTTCAGTTTAAAAAGAAGTGTAGTTACTTGAGTCAGAAGACCTTTCTCATTCATTCTCTGTTACCATCAGCATGGCTTTTGCTGGCAAATACATAGGTAAATTGTCTATGAGAAGAAAAGTGAGATGGGATGTCTTGGTGTACTGTGGAGGGATGAGAATGTTTCAGTAGGACAGAATGCTTTAGAAAGCATCACCAAAAGCAGGTAAAAAAAATAAGAATTATAAAAAAATCTCCATATACTGCATTATGGAGCACCAGCACTAAGGGTTGGCTGAATGTGAATTTAACTCTCTGAATTTGAGCTTCTAATTATGTGTCCCCTCAAATGCTTTGTGGCCTGGTAGGAAAGTTATTTTGCACTGTCATGATAATGGACTTATAATACTTAAGTACTAAAACAAATGTGGTCCCTGTACTTTTGAAATTTAACATAGGCTTTAGTTTATGAGCAGTTTTGTAATTTTAAGTCTCTTTTAGAGCTCTAATCCTGATACTTATGCATGTATGATCCATGACATTAATTCAAAATATTTATTCAATTTCTAACTTTGAAAAAGTTGTGTGATGAAAATGCTTACTCTTAAGCATCATTCAAAATATTTCAAAAGCAGCAACTAAAATATAATTTTCATTTTTAAATTGGGAATTTTTAGCAGATTAAGGGGAGTAATATAACCTGTGGAATGTTTTAAATTTACTCTTTGGTTTTTAAATATAATCCTTAAACTGCCGTCAGCCCTCTAGGGAAGGATTCCATCATTCAAGCTACTTTACTTTGAGTATACTGGATTTTATATTGTAGTGGTGTTGCAGTGTATTTTCCTTGTCGAAAGAAGGAAGGAACTCTTTTCAATTCATTACTGACTAATGATTCTTGGCTCTCTTATTAGCCTTTAAAAGTAAAGTGAAAATGGAAGAACTAAGATGGTATCCTGCTTTCTTGTCAATGCATTCTGACTGGCTCACTAATTTTCTACAAGAATAAAACTGGTTCCTTAAGCTACTTCAGTTCTTGGTATCAGAGCTCAGAAATGGCAACAATGTGCTAACCAAAATTTTATGCTGGCTAATATGTTTTAATACCATTTGGTGGTAGTCTAAAAGCTACCTCTGTTTCCAGTGTTCACATTTCCATCCTTTAACATCAGAGTGTGTTTCCTATTTTGAGAAGGTTGAAGAACAGTAGCCAGTAAAATTAGAACTGTGTTGTGAAATGGAGCGTGCATCTCGGATAGTTTCTTTTCTTGGTTTTGGTTTAGGTTAACAGAAGTATCTTTACATCTGCAGTTTCTGGAAATTTAAGAACACCGTGAACCTCTGGCCAATAAAAATTTTCCCATTATGTAAAACATTCTTGTAGATATTGACTCACTGATGGTAGTGGTGACTTCCTGCATGAAGTAAACAGACTTTTGCAATGAATTTTCTAGTGAACTAGTAAGTTTCAGTGCAGCTTTTGATTTGCTGTAGTTTGTTACGGTTGAGTGCAGCCTTTACCTACCATTTTTCTTTTTTGCCTTCAGGCTTGTGAGAATTGTTTCTGTATATTAATAGGAGATGCTCGAAACCGACTTGACTTGTTTGTTTCCCAGCAGGAAAGCCTAAGTGCTTAGGCTTTAACTGAATCAGGACCAGCTCTCAGCAGTGGGAAACAATATATTAATCTATCGGAAGCACAGACTGCAGTCTTGTGTGTCACTGGAGTTTGTGTTGTGAATTTTTTTCATGTAAACAGGTAGGTAGGAACAATTCATCTGCTGTGTATGTTTTTAATGTATACATTGAGAAACCACATGACAGTTGTGTGAGTTGGGGTTTTTTTTGGTGGGATATTTTGGTGTTTTTTTTGGTTTTTTTAGTATTTTTTTGGTTTTTTTTAGTATTAGTATCATTGCATGCTGCTGTAAAGTACCTTGTTCTGTTTTGCATTTTCACATCTTTAAGTTGATATTAATTTAACAAATCGTCTCCAGTGCCTGGGCTTGGTTTAGTTATGAATGAAGGTGATACCTCAAAAGTCAAAACAAGTTTCATTCTCATTTCTATAAATAAACCCTCTTGTAGCATTGTTCTGTCTTGTGTGTCTTGCACACAATCAGAATGGACTATTTTGCAAGTTCTGCATTCTGCCTGATGGATTAAGTTGCATGATAGTATATGGAGGCTTGGTTTTTTTGTTCCATCAGTTGTATTTGCAAGGAAGGTAAGCAAATTATTATCTCGATTTCACAAAAAAAAATCTTCCCCTCAGTTGTTTGATTTCAAATAGATTAAAAATATGATTAGAGCTCATAGGTGGTAACCAGCTTCCTCAGTCAGCCACAGCCTAATTTGGAAAACTGCATTTAACCTTAGTTGCAAGAGGAGAAAATGTCCTGAATCCTTTAGAACAGTACCTTAAATATGTTTGGGGTTGTGCTTTCCTTCCTTGTTCCACTCTACTTTTTCTGGAGTTTAAAAAGAAATTATGCTTCTAAAAAAAAAAGTTAGTCCTGTTTGCCTTCGGTTTAAGCTTTAAATTAGGAATGGATAAAAGAAGTGAAACGTGCTCCTTTCAGCTTCTTGACGTGAACATAGGAAATTCGTCAGTCCTTCAGGTGAGTGATGGGGGTTGTGTCATTGGAGAGGAGCAGCAGATGATGCTCTGGGACTGCTCTGTGGCTTTTTCCTCAGAACAGGTACAGCTTCATAAAGCTGGAAGATAGAGAGGCTCATTCAAAATTCTCAGTGGAAAGGGATAAAAAGTGAGCTTTTTGCTACACTGTTACTAGACCATATGTTAAGCACTGTGACTAAGAACTTCTTGGTGGTAATAAATTTTGTGAAGTAATGGTGGTGTTTATATCGAGAAGGTCATGTTCTTGTCACAATAAGTTCTTTTTGTAGGTTCACTTATTAGTATAACAAGTCCTTTATAGGTTGTGATCTAGAAGTAGCATCTGAAGGGTGCAGGAAAAGGAAGTAGTCTGCTGGAATAATTGGACACTCTTTTGGCCTTTTTTCTTTCTTTTACTCTCCCATGTAGGACCATGGTATGAAGCAGACTTGCTATCTTTCTGTAAGATTTCTTTTTTTCCCTTGGCCACATCTTATAAGTTGGTGCTAGGTGTTTGTTGGCATTTTCCTCAGAAATGTTGTGTGCCTCTGTGCTGGTATGTGAATGCCTGCCAGAAAGCAACTAGGCTACACATGGCTATCTTGAAGTAATTTTCACTGTCTTGAAGCAAAATAGGTTAAGCAGTGTTAAGGTACTAGTCTTAGACTAACTGCAGAAACAACAACAAAAAATTAAAGATCTTATTTTACCATTTATGTTTGGATTTTAGGGGAAAGGGATATTTTTGGTCCTTCTTCTCCCCAACTTTACCAAAATATAATTGTTTTTATGTTCCTTATTTCTAGTTATTTTTTCACTTTTGACAGTTCCCAGCTTAATACTGGAGTCCTTTATACAAGGTAATGCATATGAAGAGATGGGAACTTGGTAGATGCCCAGGTAAGATCAGAGCAAGGGGATCTGTTCCTCAACAAAGGAGAATAGAAATACACAGAAGTGCTTTAAGTCACGCAGAAAGTCTCTGATAGCTTTTCTGATTTCTTCTGTTTCAAAGCCAACAGGCCTCTCTTTCCCCTTTTCAAATTTGTGATAATGTTTTTAAAATGTTATATGTCATGTGACCTGCAAACCAAGGAAGGGATTTGAAGCTGAAGATGACCTTTAGTGGTGAATTATTTTCAATAGACAAAAATTTAAAATAAAACCAACTAAAACTTTGTTTGAGAGCCTAAAATGGGTATGGATTGTCCGCTATAGGAATGTCAATGTTAATTAAGCCATGATAGAAAAAAAATTTTAAATCATTGCTTCTGTGCCTGGGAACTCAGGAGCCTCTGCAAAGCGTAAGCAAAGGACTCTTGCACAGCTTTGAGAAACTTAATCTTCCTCTCATCTGTTGGTGGGGGAGTGGGTAGTAGTTGTGTTAATCGTATATCTGAGTCTGTACCTATGTTGCCCATTATATTGGCCATTTAAAGGAAAGAAAAACCTAGAAACATGTCCCTAAAACCAGCCAGCCTTTGCACTGCTTTGAGCCAAACCCCCGAAGGATGCATCTACCTCTCATTTCCTTTCTGCTCATCCCCATATTGTACACTCTGATTGCTGGCTACTGCCCCTCTTCTGGGGGGTGCCAGAGGGCTGTGGAGGTTTCTGAGCTTTCCATGTCATTGCCAGCATGTGCTCAGCCCTGCCTGATGTTCCAGTAAGGCTGAACCGGAGGAGACTGGGCAGGATGCTCCCCCAAGGAGGACCTGGATCTTCAGGAATAATAGGTTGCTGATGGTAGGCAGCTGTGATGAGCTGAAAGGTCTGGCTCTGAGCCTGGCTCTGCAGGAGGAAGGAGGGGTGGAAAGCAGTGATGAGGCTGTTGTTTCAAATGAGCCAGCAACTGGCTGATTGACGCTGGGGGCTCATTGTTGATCCCTTTGCTCTTAAGCGCAGCTTTGGAGAGTGGAGGGGGATGGAGGTAACTCCATGGGATGGAGGTAACATTATACATTAGACTTCAGGTGAACAGAGAGGCAGTGGACATAAATTAAAAAAAAAAAGTATTAAAATCCATCTGGATACAAGAAAAGCTTTTGAATGGGGATGTGCTCAAACACTGCAACAGGCTGCCCAGTGTGGTGGTGGAGTCACTCTCTGCAAATACTCAAAACCCAATGGGTGGCTGAGCTGGGCGGCTCTGCCTGACCCTGCCTGGGCAGAGGGGGCTGGCCTGGGTGGTCTCCAGATGTCCCTTCCAACCCCACCCCTTCTGTGAAAGCTTCTTTAATGTTTGGATGTATTCTCTTGCTGCTGTTGTGGAACACTTGGGGAATAATTATAAATGCCCCTGCTGGGCACTTGTCTCACAAATACTGCTGTTGTGTAATCACTGCAGTTTTAATTGTATAGGGAAAGCATCCAAGTGCTAAGTAGTTAATTGACTAAACTCCCCAATTTAAGCAACAAAAGCAAAAAAAAAAAAAAAAAAAATAAATCCACCAGTATCTCCCCCTTCCCTGAACCAAGAAAACACCAAAACACCCTAAACCTTAAACACATTTTGGTTTTAATCCCTTCAAATATTATGGTTATGAGAATTAAAAGTAGCTTTATTATGACAGAATTGTTTATTATTTTCCCCTTATTCCCTCTAGTTTTGCCACAAAGTACTGTCCTCAAAGTATCCTGTGAAAAATGAACTAAAAAGTAGGCAGGAAGATGAGAGGAGGAGCAGCAGAGAAAATGCTAAGAGATCCCACCAAACTCTGCAGTTTATGCCTTTCAGCCCATGAATAGGAAGTCATGAGATGATTTGAGAGAACTTTCCTGTAGCTGTGTTTCTTCGCTGGGTTCTCTCAGCCCTCCCCTGATTGCATTTTGCACAGCCCTCAGAAAGACTGCAGTGCAGTAGTTGGCAAGGAGGGAATTACTAGGAGGGAAAATCAAGCTGTGGTGGCTCCTCTTGCAGTGTGGTGTTGCTGAGATCTGCATTTTGGAGGAGATAATGAACGGCTACCTTTGGGTTTCCAATTTGGAAGTCTGGAAGCTTGCAAAAAAAGGGATATGGATAAGTTTTCCTTAAATGTCCTTAGAGTGTGCATGGCATGCTGGACAGCCACTAAGGTTATTGATGCAGTGGTTTGGGTTTTCTTTTTGATACAAAGCACCTGCAGTTTCTGCCTAATACTTTGTTTTTAATCCTCTGTGCTCAGACAGTGGAGAAAAAGGTAAGGTACTTTTTGTTGACTAAAATATAAAGGATAATGGAAGTAATTTCTGTATGTTGTAGCATGCAACAATAACTGTGCTTGTTGGAAAGTAAAAGTTTGATTGCCTTTTTTATTGCTTGTAATACATTGAAATTCTTTGTAATAATTTCCCTGAATTATCTAGTGTATTCAAGTTGAGAAATAGTTATGTGTACTTCATTAGTATTAAAAGGGTTGTTTTTTTTGTAGTCAGTTTTCACTTTGATTTTCTAATATAATATGGAAATATTTTCAAGATCAACTATATTCAATTGTTCTGAGAATGTTCTTCTTTTTATGTTAATCTTAGGAGCTAAATCCCCAGTCCTTTTTATGTCTTACCAATATCTTTGGATTTTTTTTTTCATGCCAGATTTTTAAGGGCATTAGCACTGTCATAATGCTGCCGTTCAGCTATGGAGTGCACTTCTTTAGTAAGAATAAAACTTTGGAGGGACCTTAATTCTCTGTGGTTTGGAAGGGATTGGTTGGTGTCTTGGGAGGGAAAGGAGAGGCTGAAAGTGCAAAACTCCCTGCACTAAATTTGGATTTATACCTAAGAATATGAAGAAGCAGTGGCCCGGGATCATTGATATCATTGGTGTCTGAAGTCAGTATGGGAGCTAAGAGTTTTAGGACTTCAGTTTTTTGCTGAGTTAATATGTAAATGTTTAGTACAGAAATTTGTACTACTTTCACAACATCTGTAGGTATAATGGGCTGACTCGTAATTTATATACTGCTTTGGTGGGGAAAGTGTACAGTTGTAGATCTCCTTTTTGTTTGAGTAAGCATTTACTCCTGGAGTTTTATGTCAATCTCAGTGCTGGGCTATTTTTCCAGGCACTGTGTTTGTAGAATGAACCAGATTGGGCTTTCATGGGCCTGTGTGTGTTTTGCCAGAATCTGTAACCACTCATTAACAGGTTACTTACTATGACTGTGGTCCAGAGTAACATTGCAGCAGTAGCAGTAGCAAAATAGCAGCAGTAGCCTTTCCTTTCCATTTCCTGAGGACCAAAGGTGAATTGTAGCATGTGACTAAGATCAAAACAATCAGAAAGCCACAAACCCCCCTGTTTTATAGCCGTGGAAGCCCGTGGCATTCCTCCCGACTGGCTAAACGCTATCTTGGTCTCGTGTTACAAAGTCCCGCTCTGCTTCAGCTGGGGCCACGGGAGCGAAACCCCAGCTTGCGTAGGGCCAGGTAAGCGTTTCTGTGACGGTGTGACCTTCCGTAGCCAGCCGTGTGTCACTGCTGAGGCTGATCCATGTCCGCAGCGTCGTGTGCAGGAGGACAGCGCGGAGCTGGGCCCTCGCTGCCGCCCGGGAACGCCGCTGCCCTGGCACCGCCGATCAGCCGCCCGGCTTGGCCACAGCGCGCTGCTGGACTCGGGCCTAGGTGGGTGCAAAGCTCGCCGGCAGGAGTCGAGCCGCTGAAATTGCTGTAAAATGTGCTTTGGCTTGCTATTGTCCGTGGCCAGGTGAGGGTAATGCTGTGTGCTCACAAAAAGTTGGCCTCGACGCAAAAAGTTGGCCTCGACGTGTGTCCTGGGGTGACTTTATGATACTTTATGGTACTGGTATCCCCAAGGATGAGAGAGGCTGTGGAGACTTCAGACTTTGTGTAGTGGTGACCTGGGCATTGTGGTAGCATTTGTTGGACTTTAATGTCACGTTTAAGAGTGCACTTAGATGCAGATTGATGAAGATTTGTATTAATTATGCTTTTGGACTATTTTCTTCTTTTTCTCTGCTTATAAAAATTCCAGGATCAAACAAATGTCCCCAAACTAAGTTGCTTACTTCTAATGACCTCTTGGAATATTGTCATGGGATGTTATTTTTTAAGAAACACTCTGCAGAACACTTCATTATTTTCCTAGAATTGAGTTTTCAAATAGAACTTATCATACTTTCCAAGAAAATGACATTGTTTTCAAGATTTTTTTACAATCTGTCATGACCCACAGTGTATCTGGGTGGAGAAGTTTTTGTGCTTGCTTTTGTGAAAGCAAGAAATATTATCTGTGATTTTAACTGTGCATGTTCTCCTTTAATGCTATTTCCTCAAGAGTCCTTTGTGAGTGATAGTGGAGGAGAAGAAAACAATAGTTTAAAAATCATGTTGATATGTTTTGTGTAGTGTTCTTTGTTATTTATCTTACATTTAGGTTATTTTTAAAATTCATCATTAAGAATTAGTTTGGTCTAATGAAACTAATGGAGTACCTTGATAGATTCTGAAAAGCCTGTTACAGGGTTTTTGAATGAAGGTAATATAACTCGAACTTTTTCTTTCTTCAGGGCAAAGAAAGAAACCAGGCAGACTGTAGCAAAGCTCCCTTTATTGGCAAGAGTAAAGAGAACCCTGTCAGAGCATTGAGAAAGCCTATTCTTCTTTCTTCTCAAGCTGCGGATCAAATGAGATTCAAATAAAACGAAGGAAATGTAAGCAATCAGAGTCTTCCAAATTTGGGGGAGGTGTGGGAAGAAGTACACAGATTTGATCAAGAAAGCTGTTGCATGGATTCTGGGAATCAAGAGCTTTTATTTAAGCTAACGACTCAGTTTTCAATATTATCATCTCTTCAGTTGTCTGTGAAGGGGAACTGTTACATGAGAAGGAACATAGAATTTCCAGACTGATACAGAGTTTACCTGTTAGCAGGTAATTAGTGAAGAGATTGGAAAGAGCAGTGAGAACAAAGTCTGGGAAAGAACTGTAAAGGATTTCAAGCATTTTGCTGTTTTGGCAGCATCTGTGGTACCGAAGAGGTGTTTAAATGGGAAAGAGTCCTTTAACCTGTTCTTAAGGTGAACCTTTTCTAAAGGATTAGATACTAAGAAAACACATACATTCAATGGAATTGTGTTGGTACAGGTTTGGACACTCACCTTTAAACTTCTAATGCTTGTGACTTGACTTGTTTCTTACCTGAAACTGAACTCACCTGTATGGCATGTTCTGTGGTGGCACTGCCACTGCTTTCTGTGGCTCTGATATGGTAAAATCCTTCCTTTCATTTTAATGTAAGGGTTTTTTTGGCTGCTGGGAGAATTCTCACATTTGTTAGACCTGATCATTGACAGCATTGAATAAACTCTGAAGGAGATTTATTTGGAATTACAGTTTGATATACTTTCTCTCAAAGGTTTCTTTTGCTTTGTGTTTGAGTGCATGACTGGACTGGGCTGTACTCAATCCAAACTTCATAAGCTTGCTAGGTACTGGTTAGGAGACAAATTGCTGCTACATTTTTTAAGGATATTGTAACTTTTTTTTTTTTTTTTCTCCTAAAGCATGAATATTTGGGTAGAAGAGAGCATTTTACCTAAGCAGTCTTACTACTGCTGTGAAGTAGGTGCTTGGAAATCTGTTTTCCTTTGGTTCTAATTCTAGTCGTGCACATAATATTTCCTTCTCTATGTCAGAAATATAATACAATATTCTGTGAGAATGAGCATTTATTTTGATGACTTTGGTCTGAATTTTCATGTGCAATCCTTCCAGCAATTCAACATTGCACTGCTGGTATGATGAAAAATAGATCTTTACAATATATTCTCTTGGCATCTTTGTTGTTGATTTTTGTGTTGTGATCGAAGTAAAACTTGAGTGTGGTAGTGGAGGGATTGATTGAAACTACTGACCAAAACTGAGCAGATGAGGGGAAAAAAAGGGGCTATATAAAGGAAATTATGTGAGTACAAAAGGTTTGTACAGAGAGAGATGATGTCTTATGTGCCTGTTACATTCAGCTTAGGCCACTTAAAAATATTATCTGGAGATGGTTTTAAAAAGCTGGGTGATGACATATCATTAAAGATGTAAAATTTTCTTGTGGGAAGTGAGAGAAATTTAGGATTGTCCTCTCTCAGCTAAACTTAAGGTACCATGGATTTGCCTTAATTACAGCTGTTGCCAGCCTTCTCTGTGTTAGTGCACTGATGAAGTCCCTTATTTCACTGAGACACAGAGGCTGTTTGGATTGATAACAAAACCCATCCTTGTTCCAAAATGGAATAGCCTTCACTGTAACTAATCACAGCTATCACCAGCACAGCTGTCAGTGAATAAGTATAACTCTGGTGCAGTCAATACCCTGGAGAATAAATTAGCAAAGTAGTAAGACCATATAAAGATAAAAATGCAGTATGAGTTTATGTATACCTAGTTTAATGATTTCTGTTTTCCCCCTGAATAACTGTCTTGAAAGATGGAAAATTGTTTTCAAAAGCACTAAGACAAAACCCACTTTTTGACACTATGATACTTGTCTAACCTGTAGAACTCACTGTTCTGAGATACCACTAAGAATTTGCTGCTCATGGCCTCAAAATAATTGCTTGTAAATTTAGCAGATGTATAGAAGAAATAGGAATCATGCTTAACAGAATCTTTGGAGCTACCTTCCCCCCCACTCTATTTTTTTCGCTTGCCTATCCACTAGTGTGTTGTAGATGCTGTATAATGATGGAAAAGAGTTCCAGGAACTGTTTTGAGCCTGGCTTGATGGATCAACAGTACAACATTTTTAATGTATTTTGTGACTTCAGAGATACAGGTTTGTCCTTAATATTATACCTAGTGTTTTCAGGTCCTAAAATTGCTTCTTAGGATAAGCATCAGTGTGCAGTTTAGTTGGAAAGTATTGTGTAAAACAAAAGAATTTCTTATGACACTAAGAAGTGTGGGCAAATTACTTCTTTTTATTCAGACTTCTAGTAGGGTTTAGAATGGTGAAAATCTTGGTAAAAGAGTCCAAAAATAGTACTTCCTACTGATGTAGAACACTTCAGGCCAGGGATGCTATAAAAGGTAAGTAGTATTTTGCTTATTGTACAGTTTAGGGAGGAATAAAGTGATGAAGTCAAAATCATGCAGCAATTCTGTAGAATTGGTGGGGAAAAAAATCCAAACCACTGCTGTAATACTGGAAACTTAATTTCCTAGGTACAAGGTATTTGCAAAAAGTGGGAATCAGCACTCTTTCCTCTGAAGAAGATCCTTAGCAGTGGAAGATCCTATAAGCTCTAATCTTAGGACTTAAGCCCCTTGCTCTATCAGCGAGTGTCCTCTGCATACTTTTACATCTGGCATTTGCTCCAGTTGTAAATTATTCCTTTCATTCTGCATATCTAGAATATGCCTATGTGAATCTTTATAACAAGCAAATAATTCTTTATGAGCATAAATTTTCCAAGGAATCTGAGTGTTCTCGTTTAGTTTCTAGTGTAACACCTGGAAGCTTTCAGGTTTGAATTTTCAAAAATAAAAAATAAAAATCCATGTTTAAAGGTTAGATTGCCATTAATACATTAAAGAGAATTGCTTTATAAAGTATTTATTTGGTAGAAGTGAACATGATTTCATTAATATTAACTAAAGAAGCCCTCGGGTGATAAGCATGCGAAAAGAATTTTTGACTAAAACTGTCAGCTTCATATTCCAAATCTGAGGACACATCTCTTTAAGGCCTTGTGGATGGTGTGGAATTCACCAGTTTTAATGTGTTTCTGAAGCAGCAGCAGTACAGTACAATTTTATCAGAAGTTTATTTGAAAGGTTGTGATCGCTTGCATTAAACTTTTTTTGGCTGCGTAACAACGATAAACACTTGGTTGTGGGTAGCGATGTGAAGTTCAGTCAGAAAAATTTATAAATTACTTTTACAACCTCCACATTAGGTATGTTGTAGAAGGATAACATCCTCATTGATTTTTGTTAGTTCTCTTAATCCAGTACAAGAGAAACCTTCAAAGGGACCTGGGGATTTTTAGTCCTTAGTAGTATCCTGTCCGACCCAGGGCTGTAGAGATGGCTTGTTCTCAAGATGTCCGTGATATCCATTGATCTGAAACCTCCAGAACTGCAAGCTGATGTAAACCTGCAGGCAGCAAATAAAACGTTTAAGGTTGGCAAGATAAAATAATAACATACTTCGTTAGCTGGCAAAGTAATCACAGAGAAGAGACAGAAACTAGAAGAAACTGTGAGAGAAATGAGGAAATTGCATGCAGGTTCCAGGTAAAAGACTCTTTCAATGATATCTTACAGTTGGAAAAATTGAATACTGTCATGCACCAGCAGGCATTTGTGGACTTGGCTTCCAGTAGCACATTCTTAAAATCGATTTACTAGTCAGTTTACTACAAGAGGAAGTAACATGCTCCTTCCTTTCTTACATTGCTGGGAGACATGTTCTGTGAATCTAAATTTTCAGTTAGGGAAAACACAGTTTTCTCCATGAACACCTTAATAAAGCTAAGAAATACTTTAGATAGCAGTGAATGTGAAGTTGTGATTATAAATACTATGAAAAGTCTGGGTAAAGGGTCTGTTTTTCTCCTGAAAACTCAATTTCAGTAGTACTTTTTTACTAGAGCTGTAGAAACTGGAATGTACTTTACTATAACTAGAAATTCTAGCACAAGTGGTTTAGAGGGTCTTTAATTTTTTAATTTTTTTTTTTCTTCCAGATTCTATTTACAAATGTGTTTTTTTTTGTTTTTTTCATCTAATAGAAAAACCTTAACAGAACTCCCACATTTTTTCCAGAACTCCAAGGTGTTGATCTTGGATAATACAATCTAAACAGTGAAGTGTACAGTATAGATATTGAAATCACTGAAGTTAAACCTGCTGTTGCTTCATTAAATAAGTGGGCAATGTTTTTCTATTCCTCACATTCTGATAAATAATTAAATACAGGCAAATGAAAAGAGAGTTATTGTTACTCTCTTTTTTTCGTTTTCCTTCCTGAATAAGAAATAATGGATTCAGACAAAGCTGAAGACATCATCTAGAATGGTGGGAAATTTCACTCAGGATTAGCGAGAGGTTGAATTCTGTGCATGAATAAATCTCTTCCTTGCAGTTTAATGATCAATAAAATATTTTGATGATGTTGTATGGTTATGTGTTAATTTCTAGAGTTTGGTTAGTATTTAGGGCAGTGTAAAAAAGTATTTCTTTCTTACCTGTGTCCATAGTAGGCCATGTTCACTGGTATAAAATGGAAGAGTAGGAAATGTTTTATGAGAGTGAGTTAATTTCCATAGAAGACAGGTTAGATAGACTTTTTTGAGTTTTGGATGTAGGCTTAGGAAACTTACTTCAGTTACAGTGGAAAGAACTTCACGTGGAAGTGAGATACTGTGTTTTCATTTTCCTGGTATGGTCATTTCTAGTTGCACAGCACTTCATTTCAGTGTTGAGTTCAAAAAGTGCCGAGCCATACTTGAAGTTGCATTCTTTTTCATTTAGAAGATTCCTCTAAACTCTGCTGTGTTCAGAATTTCCTGGGAGGACTATTTTTGTTAAAGATGAGCTGCATTTTAAAATTAATTAAGTGGTATTTTGTAGGTATTCTTTGGAAGGCAGTTTTGCAGTAATTTTTCATAATAAGCTTCTTGAAGTGCTTTTGGTTTTTTTCTTCTTATTTGCT